TAATATTTTAAAAGTAGATTTAAACTTTATGTAAAAATCTTAGTTAAATATTCAATAAAGATAGAGGCATGGCCTCACCATTAATATTAAAAAAAAAAAAAAAAAAAAAAGACTAAATCCAGCAAATAATATAATAAATTTAATTTTCAGTTTGAAGTTTTTTCTTAGCAGTAATTATATGATTTGTGAAATTTATTATTGTACAAGAATATCTTTAATTGTATCACACAATGTGCTATGTTGCACAGCTACTCTAATTAGGTAGGTGATTGACATAAGCGTTAATTATTACTGCACCACATTGATCATCCCTTTTACATGTTTTTGAGATCACTTTTATCAGTTATGTAATATCAATGGTTTCTCTTGTTTAGAGTTGCAGATGAAACTGTTTTCATTATAAGCTCTTATTTGCTCCTATATTTAATTTAATCAATTTTTATTAGAGATGGATTTCATGCATGTGCATGATTGTAGAAACATGCATATTAATGCACATTAATGTGCATTTATGTATATGATTCTGTTTCATGCACATTTTATCCTATTAAGATTTTTCTCTTCTTGATCAGTTTTTCTTTTTTTGCCTTTTTTTATCATGTAATATTATGTGCATGAAACATTTTATGCACATTAATGCACATTCATATACATGTTATTATAAAATGCATATTTTTTCCATCACTAATTTTTATTAATTTTAACTTTTATCAGTTTCACTTGCAACTATAATTTAGATTAAGTTGAATACTAACAATATTATCTAGATGATTTTTATATATGACTTAGATAGATTAGTATTAGTATAGCTTTGATGCATATTCTTGGTTTTTTTTTTAATAAATTATTTACTTTCATTGTTATTTTATTTTATGTAATTTATAAATATAGTGAACATCTGTTATTGGGTAATTTAAAATAAATTATTTTAAGATGTAGCAACCTAGTGAAGTGAACAGGTTGTCAACTCTCAAGTGGCAGGTCTAAGCTTCAAATCCTATAAATGCTGAATTTTGAAATTTATATTTGTTTTACAGTAACTGTTTCTTATCAATCAGTTGAATTTAGGCATCTATACTATTAGGTATACCAAGTCAGATCTCATCTGACATTGGAGGCTCAGAGTATCTATTTAAGGTATAATGTTATATGTGTATAGAGGAATGTGAAAAAACTGATATTATATAAGACTTCAGTACAAAATGTATTACCTATTTAACTATATTATACTTAAACTTTTTACAAAACTTTATATTTAATTATGATTCTTTTGTTGAATTACAAAAACAAAATTTTTTCAGTCTAACTTAAACTATTAACCTTGTTTGTAGGAGTTTAGAAGTTAAAAAAATAAAAATCTATTTAAAGAATTATAATTTAAACTAAAAGCAACAAATTTATAAGACAGGCAATTTATAGGTATTTTTGAAGGTTATATGCAAAAAATTCATATTACTTTACTACCAAACTAATTTAATCAAAGTTTATAAGAATTTATTTTTGAAGAACGCAGTATAATCCAGTATAATCTGAAATGCATAGAAGTGAAAGGTACTCATATATAATTCAGCAGAAATTGTAAAAATCTGTACTATGCAAGGTAGTATCTTTTATGTACCTAGAATTTGGTACCAACAATCATGTGATCTATAGAGATGGGCAAGTTTAGTAACATATTATTATTTATTATTTCCAATTATTTCTTTTAGTTTTCTTGCGTAATAAGCAATAATAAATAAAGAATTGTGATATAAGCAAAATCGCAACTTGACCGGCAGATCGTTGAGTTTAAATTTACTTTCCAGATTACATTTACAAAACATAATAAGTAATAATCATTCACCATAGGTAAGAATTAGTAATAATATATATGTGTAAACACTGGATAAAAAATAAGTAATTAGTACTTACTGCCTAGCGAACAGAAGGGACTGTTAGAGTTGAGTTTAACATAAATAATCCTATATTGATTGATCACAACGTGTGTGTAACATTAACGGTTTCACCTGTTTTCGATGATCGGCTAAAGCAGAGCGAGTTTTAAGGTTACCTTTTTGATGTAGTTATGGTTATGGGCTATATAGATATCAAGAATGTAATTTATGCGGTATGTAGATCATATACGAATTAACTCCGCTCAAGTCATTCATACAATAGTGAAGTAAATCAGTTTTATTTTGTTAATAGTTAGCCTATAATTGTGTGTGATATTTAATATGTAATTAAAAAGGCGGATTCATTTATCTCGTTGCACATTTAAATTTAACGATTATCCGGATATCCGATTTGTTTGTTTTGTTTATATTTTATATAAATTAAAAATAGTGGCGGTAAAAATTGGTAAATTGGCGAATATCCGGTTCCCATCTCTATAACTAGTAATTCTGGTTGGTAATATGCAATTAATTATGACGAATTGATTTTACAATAGAACGGTAGGTATAGTACCGGGACCAGAAATTAGATTTCGTGTTTTCCGTTAGTGGCACTAATATTGCGAACGATTTGGAGTGCTACCGGAAAAAAATACAACAATAAACAATTGTAGCATTTATTACTTACCATGTTTAGCAATCAGATATACATATGACCAATAAACAAAAAAGGAAAAATTAAATTATTTCTTAGGATTTTTTTTATTAGGAAAAAATAAATTCCGAACAACAGCTTAGTTCCACCTCAATTATATATACGCTTATATCTTTTTTCCCATTAAAGAAAATGAATTACGTTGAAATTTTTTGTCTATTATTTTTTTTTGCGTTTATACTTCATTTGATTAAACGACCTCGAATAAGCGCGGTAAACATTTCATTCTAAATAATTGAGTATTTTTTTTGCTTTGTTTTTTTTTGTAACAAAAATTATCTCGATAGAATGAACCACCATTAGTACCATATCGAATCCCAATTATTGGACATACGTATAGTTTTCTATTTGACGCTGAAAATTTCCTCAGAAAGTGTAGGGATAAGGTAGATTTCAATTATTTGTTCTATCTTTGATTCAGTGATTCAGTGTTTTTTTCTTCTAATTTTTAGTTTTTGTTTCATAAAGTATGGTGAACCATTTAGCTTATTTGTCTTTGGGAGCGTAATAACTTTTACAGGGGTTGAAACCTCTCCTGAAGTCCTAAAAAATGCAGACGTTTTTGATTTTCCTGCGGCAATAGACAAGGTACATATAGTGCACACAGTCTATACAATTTATGTTAATTTGAAACAAAAATATCTGTTAGATGTGACGGTTAGGGAAACCTGTAAACCATGCTTTTTAAATATTTACTTTAATAAAAGTATCGTGAAAAACAAAGTAATTGAATACCTAAGATTTTAATGATATTCGAATCATCTTACTAATGCAATTTAAATGATATTAAAATAATAATTATTGAGTCGCATGGTTTTTACCATTTTTATTGAAGTAAATAATCAAAAAAGTATGATTTACAGGATTTCCTGACCGTCACTCATATGCATGATTAAATATATCACTTTTCAATTAAAAGTTATAGTATAAACAAGTAATACACTCATATAACTTTATTGTTTTAATCATCACAGATATTTCCAATAAATCAGATGTTATCAAGATTCAAGAAATTTGACCAAGATGACTCAAATGAATATCTTTCTCGAGTAGTTTATGAACAGATGAGCGGTAAAATTAACTTATATACACCAAGAGTACAAAAAGAACTTGCGTTTGGAATTGAAAAATATTTTGGCAATTGTGAAGGTTTATCTTCTTTATATCATTGTTATATCCTTATTATTACGTTAGATACATTATCTAAAATGAATTAATAATTCCTAGAGTCCAAAGTTTTCAAAAACATTAGTAGTACATTATCACTAATAATCGCCAAACCTGTTGCTAATGTTTTGCTTGGTGAAGTATGTTCTATTAATACAATCTTATAATTTTTCGGCTCATAATTTTAATTGATATTTAATCATAAAGGAAGCTGCCCAATTTGAAGATATTATAGAATCATTTTCTTTAGCTGAAAAAGATTTATTCAAACTTGCTCTTATTCCTCCTGTTTTATCATTCATTCATCATTCACTTCATAGAATGCTCATCGTGTATGTAAAAAGCCATCAGAATAATAATATTGCTCGTTTATAAGTTATTATATAAAAGATATATATATTTTTAAATAGATTACCGTTGAAGTTTGGTTGGAATCCGCTTAGTCGACACAGAGATCTTTTTATCAAACGATTTAAATCAGTTGTTGAAGAACGCGTCCGTCAAAGAATGGAACTTGGTGAAAAATATATTCAAAAGGTATATTATTTTTATTCTAAATTTTAGACGACTTTAAAGAAAAATCATTGTTTAATAAATGACTTTTCAATTAATAGGAGGATTTACTTGACTTCTATTTAAGTGAACCAAATTATAAAACAGATGTCGTGGATGATCAATATGTGGATGATTTATTTGGTCAAATCTATACGATAGTTTTTTCTTCGATTAATACAACCTCTAAAGCTCTTACATTTGCGCTTTTTGGTAATATAAATTACTTCATTTATTTATCTCTCTAATTGATAGATTTTAAGATTGAAAGCTAATCTGATAATTTAGATTATGCTGGAAGACCCGAGTTATGGGATGAAATCTACGAAGAACAATTAAATATTCATAATGAGTCAAATGGTAATTTAAGCATTGAGGATGTTAATAAAATGGTAAAGTTGGACTGTTTTATAAAAGAATCGTTTAGACATTCTATCGATATAGGTAAGTACATTTGATCACTTAAATTTTTCATATTTAATAAATTTTATCATTATATAAATATTTATTTATTCTTTATTTATAAATTAGCTCAATTACCACATATCATGACTGATAAGTCATATACATTTAATAACGGAGCCACTATACCCAAAGGTATGTATTTATTAATTAATACAGTAAAACCTTTCTAAGTGCACATTTTATATAAATTCTGTCTAAATGCACGAATAATTTGGCCCGATCCCAACTTATATGAACGCTATATCTATAAATGCACTCCCTCTTTAAATACATATTTTGCCTTTTTTTACTATGATCTGGGGGAGGTGTATTTAGAGAGGTTTTACTGTAGTTTGTTTAAATTTTACACTAATTTTTACTATTTAACAATGTACAGACCGTGAGGTTTATATCTATATGAGAGATACTGCCTTTAGTAAGGAACTCTTTGGAGAAACAGCGAATGAATTCCAACCAAAGAGGCATATAACTTCAAATTCTAATGGCAAAATTGTTCACTCGCAAGCTACAAAACTTCATAAATCTTCTCTAACTTTTGGTGGCGGTAAACACGCATGTCCTGGTAGATTTTTTGCTGTTAGCGAAATTAAGATATTTTTTCACATGTTGATTTTAAAATATAAAATTAGAACTGAAAGTGGCAGAATTGATCCTTGTAGAGTAATATCTTCTCTTACTTTGCCACCTAATTCTGGTTTAATTTTTGAAAATCATAACTAGTAATTTTGCTCATTATAATAATTTTGAAACTTAGCATTATGTTCTTTTCACTATTTTTATTTAATTTATATATTTATTTTTAAAGTTCATTTCATTTTATTTATTCACATTGCTATTATTTATCATTATTCTTGGTATGTATTATAAAGAATGAATGGTTTTATAATTTAAATACGTACAGAGCTAGTAATCGAATACAAATTTCATGTTAAGTCTAAATGAAATTTGGGTTTAAAATTAAGACTTCAAAAAGAAATTAATTTTAAAAACATTACACGTGACAATAATATCAATGATAATTGACTCGGCCCAATTCTTAATGCAGATCATATTATAATCGATAGCTTACAAGTAGGTTCTACTAGAATAGAACCTTTGAGCAGACTATTTAAATTAGACAATAACTAAAGTTGCACAAATAGTTAGTTGTATATTCTTTCTATAAATTTCTTCTGTGGTTGTAAAGCAACTATTAGTTAAATATATTATCAACAAAATTCTAAGTTGCAAATACTCACTTTAATATTTAAAAAAAATTAATAATAATTTTATTCATATTATATTAATTTTTTTTAAACTTTGGCAGCCTTGTCAATTACCTGTATTAAGATTCTTGTATAATATTTTGTACAAAATTGGCTTAAATTCTAGTTCACTATCTTTTAGTTGTTTTTAAGAATGCTCAGAAGCAGTCTGTTATATTGATTAAAAATTAATCAGGTTAGAGAGTTATACTAAGTTAGTTATTAGAGTCATAAAAAAAGATCATATTTTTCTTCTTATAAAGTTAATAACTAAACCTAATCATGATTTTTGTTTTTTTTTTTTTTTTTTTTCTTTTTTTTTTTTAAAAAAAAGTTTGGTTTTGATTATCTACTATATCTTTTTCTATCTCATATGCTAGTCTGTTGGTTATTCTGTTTTTTAATATGTTTTTATTTTGTTTTTTGTCTGTGAGTCTAATTTTATTTACTTTTTTTAGTTAGTTACTAGTGTTAGACTCAATAACATAATATAAATAATCATTGGAATATTATATGTAAGCAGGTATAGTAATTAATTCTTTGATATAAACATTCTGACAATTAATTGTATTAATATGATTTATTAAATATATTAAAAAAGTGTGAAATAATAGTGAAGAGAGATTTTATAATTATAGAAGTTTATGTAAATATAAAGAAAAAAAAATTAAATTAAATAAAAAAAATATAAAATGAGATTTATGTAATAAAATAAGTCTTAATAAAAAATTATTATAAATAAAAGATATTAATATTCTAAAAAAGACAGGTTTTATTTAGTTTAAAAAAATAACAAGTTCTAATATATTATATTGTTAATAATAAAATACTAAAACTATTACTATTATTCAGGTTGTCAACCTCCAAATGGCAGGTCCAGAGTTCAAATCCTAGTGTTAATAGAAAATTTGAAAATTCTCTCTATGTTATAATTAACTGTCTTTCACAATTGGTTGAGATAAGATATCTGTTACCTGTGTTGCACTAGCATAACTGGCAGGTCATATGGCATTTGTGTAAAGTCATATGACATTGTTCTTTGGAACAAGGTCTGTAGTTATATGAAGTAATGCAAATCAGTACTAGGCAGTGCAAACCTATAATAAGTTCTTATAACAATATAAATCATAAGAATCAAAAGAAGGAAGACAAAAGTCTACTTGGAAAACCTAAGTAAAAAGATAACCTGAACTTTTGACAATGCTACTGTAAAGACTAGACTTATGAAATGAAGCTAGAACTTGTTAAATTGGGCAAATATGCCAGTCTTTGAGGAGGGACCAGATAAACCAACCAGGTTGCTAGAATTTCTGAATTTCAGAAGAAAAAGGTACATGTCAGTAAACATATAAACTAGAGGTATATAGTTTAGACCTATCTTTTTAAGCTATCTGAAATGGCAGCTTGGTAGAACTTGAATTGAATACCAAAGTAGTAAGAATATGTTATAAAGTTAATATTAAGATTGGAGATAACTCTACAAGGGTATAATGGTTTAATAGTATGACCTGCTATTAGTATTGCTCTTGGTCATAACAATATCAGGTTAGCTGTAAGGATATGTTGTAAAGTTAATACTAAAGTTGGTGACAACTCTACAAGGGCATAATGGTTTAATAATATAACCTGCTATTAGTATTGCTCTCAGTCATAACAATATCAGGTTAGCTGTAAGAATCAAATACAAAAAATTCTGAAAGGTTTAGTACAAGGTCAAAGGTTCCAAAGAATTTCTTTAAAGACTTAGTAACTATAGCATATTTTCACTAACATTGGCCTGAATTATTGGTAGACAGAGATAGGTAAGTAAATACAGAAATTACAGTAGTTAAATAGGGAATTTACAAGCAGTTTCTAGGTATGGTAACTAGTATAAAACCTTTAAGCAGACTACTTAAATTAGACAATAACTAAAGTTGTATGAGTGACTAGTTGTACACTTTTTTTATAGTTGTCTTCTATAGTTGTAATGCAACTATTAGCCAAATATACTATTAATAAAATTCTGGATCGCAAGTACTCACCTTAATATTTAAAAAAAAAAAACATTATTATTATTAATTCTGTAAACTACAATAATTATTATTGTTCATTCAAGTTCTTTATTATATAATATATCTTACTGACCTTTATTAAACTTTAGTAATTGAAAGCTTTAATTACTTATCAGTCAATTCTAATAACTTTTTTATAAAAGTTACTATTTGTATATTATATAAGATTTTAGATTGTAAAGCAATTAAGTTGCAGTTTTTTGAGAACTATATTAGTTTATTTTACTTCTTATATATTTTTAAAAAACTATTTTATATTACATTCATCTAAATAGTTATAAACTTTTTAGTTTCTTTAAGAATTTGGATATGTCTTATAATATTATTTTGGCTTTTCTTTGTATTAGTTTTTTAATACTTTTAAATTTATATTTTTTTTTCTCTATTAAGACTTTTTACTGAATCTTTATAGTTTTAGATTGCTAATTTTCTTACAGATTTCTTTTAAAAGTGCTATTTAAACTAAATTAATAGTCGAATTTCTGTATATCAGTTTATTTTTTTACATAAATTTTGTATATTGTTATGTGTTCTTGATTTTTTTTTGGTTTTATTATACAGAACGCAATGTGAGCTTTTATATATATTTGAATATCTTTTTTACTAAAGTTTTCAGTACTTATATTTTTTAATGTATTTAATTATAATTGTAATTTCTTTATATTTTTTATATTATATATTTGATTTTGCTTTAACTTTTGACTTTTCTTTATAGCATCATTTAATTTTTATTTTTTTATTTAGTCTTAATTTTTGAACTAATAATATAAATTTTATTATTTCTTTAATAAATATTTTTATTAGTAATATAATATTTAAATTTAGAAATATATATTTATTATTATATTTAAAGTTTATATTACTTTTTTTTGCTAATCTTCTACTCTATTATTTCATTTATTATTACTATATTCTTTTATCTTAATTGATTTTAATTATAACTCTTTTAATTTAAATAGCTCTATTATACTTTTTTTAAATTATAATTTTTTTTTAATTTATTGCTTACTTGTTTTTAGTTTTTTCTTTGTTAAGACCAAACATTACTATTATATTATTTATATAAATTTTGACTTTTTTTTTCTTGATATTTTTAAAAGCTAAATAGTTATTAATATTGATTTTGTTAATAAGTTCAATTTTGCATACTAATTGTATACTTTTTTAAATAAGTTATTGGATTTTTTTAGTAACAATATAATAATTATTTTTTTTAAAGATTTTTGATTTGTGAATTCTTAACAAACTACAAATTAATTCAAATTATAATTTTTTTATTTAACAACTCTATATATAAATTTTATTTAGATAATTTAATATTATATAAAACAATTATTAGTAGCAATTATAGTAAGAATACATTAATACTACTTTAACAAGATTCTTTAAAATTGAACTATTAATTTTAAACTACTCTTTCTAAAGCAAATTGAAAAGTTTTGACTTATTACTTAGTAGAGAAATATGCTTATATATATGATATTCTAATTTATATTACAAATATTTAATAAGATTGAGGTCAGAATTATATAAAGATCATAGAAGTTATATAATATGATTTTGTCAAACCATTTTTGGAAAAATTTGAAAGTATGAATTTTAGCATTGTCATCTTGAAACTTATAATTTTTTTGACTAATTATGTTTATTAAATTGTTTAAATATAGTATATAACAAGTTTCAAGAATTTCTATATAGTCTTTTAAATTTATTCTGCCACAAACCTGAACTAAAGGTCCAAGACTGCATATACTAAAATATCCCCAAACTATTATATCTACTTTTTCTAACCTAAATGTTGGAACTAAATATTTAATATTATATATTTTTCTTTTGGTTTCTTCTAAGCATACTTATGACCATTTCCTTTAAATATCTTAAACCTTAATTTGTTATTTTAAATAATATTTTTTTATCTTTTATTTTAATTTACTTTTGCACCTGCTCAATTCATACAAACTATATAAGACTTCTTATCTATAAATGGTTTTTTTAAACCAACCTGACCATAAAACCCTTTATTATATAGTTGCTATTGTATAATTTATATAAATACTTCTATAGATATTGTTTCAATAAATTTGTTTATCAAAACATTTAGTATGATCTTTCTGTTCTTTTTTTTAAAATGCAGATTAGATGTTGAAAACTACATTTAGTTACTTTAAAAAGTCATCCAAAATAAGGTAAAGATACAACTTTCTTAGCTTTTTTGTAATATGTTATTATATTAATAATAATCCATTTAAAAAGTTTTAGAGTTTTTGTAATTCTTATTTACTTCATACTAGTTTTATAAGCACCAATAATTTGGTTGCATTTTTTATTAGTAAGTGTTTTCTTTGTTTCATAATAAAAAAAAAATATCTAGAAAAAAAAAAATAGACACACTAGTGAGTTCATTAAAACTATAAAAAATATT